CGGACAAATTTTATTAAGGCGCTCCTCCCAAGAGCTAGAAAGTGGATGAAATGCGCTTTTGAACTTATTAATGGCAAATTTAGAGTTGTATGGAACCGATTTTTTTTTTATTTTTAAACCATTAAAAACCACGACTGCAAGCTAAACATCGACTGCAAAAAAGCCCACAAAACGCTTGCTTTGAAACTGTGTTCTCGCACTCATCGTCTTTGCTCTCTGTTCTTGTCGGCGTTCACTGTATTATAGAGACAAGCTTATTTGTATTGACTTGTCTGTAATCAGTTTTATCGCACTGACAATCTCGACTCGGCTTTCACGGTTCACTCTGTTCGTACCCCAAGACTGACTATAGCGAAGAATGCTTCGAAACATGAAATATAATTTCGGTTTGTGCTGAATCATGCAGGTAATTCTTGAATGCTGAACCCTTGTTCTCTATCAGATAGTAAAATTTAATAATTCTGTTTTTTTATTGAAAGTGTGTGTGCTAAAAAACTCGTACTGTATGAGTGTGAAATGCTTTTCAAAATACCATTTCGGATTTCGTACAGTCTCCACTAATGGAACTGGCTTGTTTTTATATTTTGGATTAACATGAAAAGGTATATAAAGTTAAAACTGAGCTCTTCTTTGGTACGTCCTTCTATTCGGCTGCCTGCATATCTGTCTCTTCTTCTTCTTCTTCTTCTTCTTCTTCTTCTTCTTCTTCTTCTTCTTTATTGGCGTTGGCAACGCTGACGCGATTCTAGCCGAGTTAATGTTAGCGCACCATTCGTTTTTTCTTTTCGCTGTTTAGCGCCAGTTGGGAATACCAAGTGAATCCAGGTAGCTCTCCACCTGATCCTTCCAATGGAGTGGAGGTCTTCCTCTACCTCTGCTTCCACCAACGTGTACTGCATCGAATACTTTCAAGGCTGGAGTGCTTTCATTCATTCGGACGACATGAGCTTGCCAGCGTAGCCGTTGTCTCTTCATTCGCTGGACTATGTCAATATCATCATATAGCTTATACAGCTCATCGTTCCATGCTCTGTGGTGTTCGCCGTTGCCATAGCGGCAAGGATCATAAATTGTTCGCAAAACTTTTCTCTCGAAGACTATGAGAGCTTCTACGCCATATAATAGTAGGACGGGAATGATGAGCCACTTGTAGAGTTTGGTTTTCTTTCGCCGATAGAAAGCTTTACTTTTCAATTGCTTGTTTAGTCCAAAGTTGTGTTGATGACAGGAGATATTTCGTCTTGCCCTCAGTTACTACCAGACCCATGCGAATCACTCTATCGAGTCTGGAGAAAGCAGAACTAACGGCGCGGTTTTTGAGGACAATAATGTCGATATCATCGGTGTATGCCAGCAGATTGTATCTTCCCTATTCAGCTCGTATTATTTTCTCCAGCATCAAATTAAAGATGTCACACGATAAGGAGTCGCCTGTCTGAAACTTCGTTTGATACCGAACGGCTCGGAGAGGTCCCTACCGATCCTGACGGAGCTTTTAGTATGGCTTAAGGTCAGTTCACATAGGCGTATAAGTTTTGCGGGGATATCAAGTTCAGACATAGCGGCGTAGAGGCAGCTCCTTCTCGTGCTGTCGAAAGCTGCTTTAAAATCGTAGAAGAGGTGTTGTGTATCGATCCTCTTTTCCAAGGTTTGGTTCATGGTGAATATATGGTCTAAAGCCACACTTATAAGGTACAATCAGTTTGTTGACGGTGGGCTTTAGTCTTTCACACACATAATACGCTCGATACGACTTTAAATGCGGTATTAAGAAAGCTTATTCCCGCATTTTTGGCGCAGACTGTGGGACCGCCTTTTTTGTGGAGTGGGTAGAGCACACTTAGGTTCCAATCGTCTGGCATGCTTTCATCCGAAAATATTTTGCAAAGAAGCTGATATATGCAGCTGATCAGTTCTTCACCACCGTATTTGAATAGCTCGGTTGGTAATCCATCGGTTAGTATCTCAATTTCAGAAATAAAGGAACCAATTTTGTTTATCGCCTGCAATATATTTGATCTAGTAAAAATTAATCCATTATTTTTGCTTTAAATTGAAGGCTTTATTTATTAATTATCCTTTCCTTCTCTAGAGGCAAATCATTCGCCCTAGCTAGAAACAGATGGTAATCATTTAGTGCGATTTCTCCACTATAAGTTGAATGCATAAGAACCTCCCAACCAAGCTTTCGAAACTTTTAGCGGTTCACTATCGAAGTGTCATTTGTCGTTGTCCTGTTGAAACACTATTCTCCTCCCATTGGCTAAAGCTGGGCGTTTCTAGGTAATTGTTTCCTTACAACGATCAAACTGCTGACAGTACAGGTCCGTATTAAAAGTTTGGCGGCAGGTGAGTAGCTCATAGCGAATAATATCTTGCCAATCTAACCAAATACACTACAAAACCATTGACCACAACATTTTTTATTCGACGTTTTTGTAAGTGATCCACTTCTCATCACCAGCCACTATTCGCGAAATTAGTCGATTTTGTTGCGATTCAACAGCGAATCACCGCTTAAAATTCGAGTCAGACTCCTCGACAATTTCCATTATTTTAGCCTCATTTTCGGGTTCAGGAACATTGTTTAGATCTTTTATTGCTACATCTTCGTCCTTGCTTTCTTCATATCTGTTCAAATCCAGATCTTCGGTGACTTATAGTTGAAATCTTAGCTAAAAACGGTGAAAAATTGTCAAAAAAATAGTTTCAGACACTAAAGTAATATTCCGTACAGCTGACGAGATATGTCCATATCAAAATATTAATAAAATGCTAGAAATCCACTTTGAGCAAAATATATATGCGACTATCAATTTGTTTTTGCTAAATCTAAAAATACCAAATCCTTGCGATTACCTTATTAGCCTTCCTTTCCATTTTTAAAATAATCTGCTAAAACGAAGACAAAAGATCCCAGGTTAGCTGAGGATAGGTCAGACGAAATTCCGCCACCAACGCAAACAGAAATTCACCAGGTGACTCTCTTTGGGTTTCGGCGTAATTTACAGACAATACAAATATTCAGTGAATGCCAAATTGCATTCGGAACGATTGTTCCGTCTTTAAAGAATATTTTTAAGTCATTCTGAAGATTCCAGACCGGAAATAGAGGCCGAGAAATCTTCCACTGATGACGTCTCTGTAGCTCTGGTAAAGTCCAAAATTGACGAAGACTTACGATTGACATTAGAAATGATTACTAATGAATTGGGCTCGAATGCCATCGCTGTATCGCGAATATATAATAATCTGCTCTATGGGTACCACGAATTTTAAATGAGGCCCAAAAATAGGCAAATTCGAAAATGGTCAGTCCAGTAAATTTATAAAGTCGTTATTGGTGACGAATCTCAGCCCATTGTATGGAACCCAACAGGAGCAAAAACAACAGTAAAAGCAACCAAAATCGGCAGCACAAATAATGATGCCAGTTCACTTCACCCAATCTAAAACCGTAACTGCTATTCCACTGGAAAAGGGTTAGACGGTAACTCCAAAATTGCACACCGATTAGTGCTTACCAAAAGTTTTCAAATATTTGTTGGAAAACATGAAGAAATAGGATGTGCAGCGCTAATTTTTCCATCATGGCAACGCGTCATTCCACACTGCTAAAATAACAAGAAATTTTATTGCGATCTCTGGGATCGAAGAAATGCAGATACAGCACCCGGTGATTTATAGTTATTTCCAAAAATTAAAACAATTTTAAAGAAAATGCCTTTAATAGCAATGAGGAGATAACTTAATGCGGTTAATGCTGAACTTTCAGAAGTGGATCTTTAGGCTTAAGAAAAGCATCGTGATAATGTATCTATAAAGATATAAAAGGACAAAGATTTCTAATAAATAATAAAAAAAAATTTTCTGGTCAATTTACCGAACTTTTTTCAATCCCCCCGTATATGAGCTAAGAAGGTAAAACGAATGATGCAGAATTTGCGTCTACCTTGAAATTCTGATCACAAAAGTCTTGTCACAAATTTAGTGCTGGGTTAATAAAAATAAATAAAGAAAAAAATATAGAAGATTATGAATATTTCCTGTTTTTCGTCTTAGTTAACAGGATATATACATATATACACGCAGTTTATTTATTTAGTGTATGATCTTGATCTTTCCACGAATTTTACGACGATTTTTTCATAATTTCTAGTTTTCTTCTGGTTACCCATACAGTAGCCGCATATTAATTAATTATTTTTTGTAAATATTAAATGATATTCATATAAACCTTAAGACATTTTGTTGCAAAGTCCAATATACAATTCTAAGATAATTTTATAAATTTCATATTCAAACTAAAATATTTCTTTAAGATATTATTTAAGCTATAATAATATATCTTAGAGAGTTCAGTTATTGTTATGTAATTTACTTAGGTAATATATAATATTATAACGGTTTACTTAATTTTAAACTTTTTGCATATTTTACTGTTGTGTTATTATTATATTTACTGAGTATATCTTGTCAATTTGGCATTTATAAAATTTGTCTAAAATCATATATAATTACATACCAATTATTTGTATTTAATTAAACTATATTGAATATATTTTCTATATTTCCATCGACGTCATCCTGCTTACCACCACAATGCTAACCCGCAATCGCACTGTTTGCTGACACTCGCATCATTTTGCCGCTTGTATACGCCTGTGGCCAACTATACATCAACGCCTGCCGTCTGACCATCGCCTATACACAATTACCGATGCCTTATTGTTGCTGTTGACGCTGCTGCTGCTGCTGCTCAAACCACCAACCACATTATATTGCACATAACTGTAAAAAAAATATTTTGGAATACTCTGGCAAACAACAACAACAACACAACATGCACCAACAATACGTTACGATTCATTATTTGACCATATGTGGCACTTCAACACAAACCACATTACTGCTTGCTGACTAAACTGACTGCTTGCCTGCCTGCTTGCTCGCTCGCTTGCTTGCTTGTTACATTGCGCTCATTCATCGGTGCATTGCAGGTTTCCGATACTGTCGTGGAGCCGTACAATGCCACATTGTCCATACATCAACTTGTCGAGAATACCGATGAGACATTCTGCATCGACAACGAGGCTTTGTACGACATCTGCTTCCGCACACTGAAGCTGACATCGCCCACCTATGGCGATTTGAATCATCTTGTATCCGTAAGTTGACCAATATACCAAGCAATACTAATGGATTCTCTCTTCTTGCTTCCTACCTCCCGTTCTCTTTTCCGCCTACGTCCCCGCCAATCTCACATTTCCGGCATATATACAACAATACGTCTACACAAACACACGCACATACACTGAAACCACCGACGACGACGACGACGACTACGCCTACGCCTACAATTGATGACCCGGTTGCATGGCTGGACGACAATGCCGATTGCATGGCATTTACCAATGTTTACCGCAATACGAATGCTATTGCTTTGCTGCAAACAAATACACACATAACATTATGTATATGTTTGTATATATTTTTAAATACGTGTGTGCATTTGTAAATTTTCGCATGTGTTTGCTTGTGGCCACACCCCGTTCTACTATGCCGTGCACAGGTATCGGAGGTAATTGTTGAGCCCTACAATGCCACACTGTCGGCACATCAATTGTGCGAGAACACCGATGCAACGTTTTGCATCGATAATGAGGCATTGTACGACATTTGTTATCACAAGCTGCGTATGCTATGTCCCACCTATGAAGATTTGAATCATCTCGTGTCCGTAAGTAGTAATTTTTTTCTTGCCGCATGCTTGTCAACCAATAAAGCAAACGAAAAGAGAAATGCAACCAATATCGCTTGAAAATAGCAAACAAAAAATTAATTGACGCTGCTGCTGCGCCAGGTTTTGCGTATGTAAATCATATACATACATATATACTTATTTGCATATATGCGCATATTGATGTAAACGCTTGAGCAGATTAAGTGTTGTGGAGTTTTTCGGAAATTTCAAAAAGTACTTATTCATACGATTTTAATATTTCATAATGTTTTCCCAAGGTGACCGTTAATTTGCATAACTGCCCAACCAGTTTTATTGCTAAAACACTATTGTTGTAAAAAATTGGCATTTAACCTTGAGTGGCACCACCGAGTTTCATGCAATTAAAATTTGTGAGCCATGCCTTGCATATTAATAATATCTGAAATATTTGGCAAAATGTCTTTTTCCTAATGTCAATACAGCATTTGTTGCTTTTACTCAATACTACATATACATATGTATGTATTCATACAATTAATTCATATGCACACACTCACGTTTTTATTTAATTTTTCTAAATTCCTCCAATTGGTATTTGGCGCTACGGTTGTCACGTGTTAATATTTCTCTAATTTTATTTTAGAAATAAAAGAATAATGCTTTTATGTTAGCCATGGCGTATACTTCACATTCTATAGAACAAGTAAGCTGTTGAATTGCTGCTTTTATTTAATTATATAGGGTTTCCCAATAAGAGATGAAATATTATGAATAGCCTGTTCTTCCGGTAGGTAACACTTCTGAAGCTGTAATTATTTGACCTTTGACAAGTAAAAACTACATCAGTAATAAAAATCAAACGATATAAGCTCCAACAACGCGTTCAAATTATTAAAATTCACTATAAATATGGTGAAAAACTGGCTCGTAAGACTAAAACATTTTTCGGTTGTCGTGAAGCAGACCCCAATAGAGAAATTGGGTGAAAAATGGCGCTGTTGGGGCAAGTTAGTATTGTGAAGGATAGCACACGTACACGACGCTTAGGAACAACTGAAAATATTGTTGCTGTAGCCGAAAGTATGAAGAAAAACCAGGTTTTTTCATTCCTCGTTATTTGGAATTGGATATCCCACGAACGTCATTAAACCGTATTTTGTATAAAGACTTGGGTATTAAGGCTTATAAAGTTCAGTTAACACAAAAACTCAAGCTGGCCAATCATCAACAACGTCATGTCCTTACAGATTGCAACTTTGAAATGCATTAAAGGCTACAGACTTTCCGCGAAAAATCATCTTAACTGATGAGGTCCATTTCTTCCTTCATGGTTACGTCAATAAGCAAATCTGTCGCACCAGGGCTCATCTCTTGAAAATGAGACTGGAGCAACTGACACGCTGAAATGATTGCCCTATCGAGAGAGGATTTATGATTTTTTACAGCCGGAATTCCATGGTATTGATCTGGACAACGAAACCTTCGATCTTTCAAGGGAAAGGTTACCGGACCGTGCTATCTCTAGAAGAAGAAATCGCAGTTGGCCACCTTACGATTTCTTCCGTTGGGGCCACCTTGCGACTTCTTCCGTTGGGGCCATGTGAAGTATAATATCTACGCGAACATACACCTTAGAGATAGAATTTGTGAAACTAATGGGGCATACAGCATAGCCACCAGCATAGCCATTTTACGATTTTGTGATGGAAAATTGCATAAAAAGGGTACCGTCCTGGCGACCATTAGGTCATTATTAATGGCATGTGTTTCTCCTTACATTAAAATAAGCATCCGATCATTTCTAAAGAGATGACCTATTTCTTTAAATATCAAAATAAAACCTCTTATTGGAAAACCTTTAATAATTTACACTTTATAACCGCTGAAGCGATTTTCGGCCGAGCTCCGCCTCCAATTTGTTTTACGCGTCTTAATGTTTGCTAAAATGTGGAGGGACCTACAGTTTATACTTAGCCGCCTCTAAGCGGCTGATGGATTTTTAGAAGTAGCTTTTATTTCATGCCTGAAATACACATGGAGAGCTCAACATTCCCTGACGATTTTTAATTTAGATTTGCCAAATATTTCAACGATTAATATGCTTTTTTGCCAAGAACAAAAGATATTAATCAGTAGAGTCTGTAATACTACTACTCAAATAATCCCCGACTTCGTCATCAAGGAGCTCTACTCGTACTAATTTCTTATACTAAAACTTACAAATGCCTTACTTGTTAAAGTAATTTTTAAAAACTTTTCGCCTTCTTCTTCTGCTATCGTGAACGCCTCCCCCCGCTTTATCTTGTTCAATATTTGGCTCGCCTTACTATTTACCGTCTACCTTGCCTGCCTGATGATGCATGATAAATGCTAAATTGAACCCAAAACTTTCAATGTATACAATTTTGATTTTTAATTTACTTTTATTTTTTCCCTCTTATTTTCCCGTGTATGAAAAAAAATAGGTCACAATGTCTGGTGTAACAACTTGCCTACGTTTCCCCGGCCAACTGAATGCCGATCTGCGTAAATTGGCCGTGAATATGGTGCCATTCCCGCGTCTGCACTTTTTCATGCCCGGCTTTGCCCCACTAACCGCCAAAGGATCGCAACAGTATCGCGCGTTGACCGTCTCCGAACTGACTCAGCAAATGTTTGATGCCAAGAATATGATGACAGCGTGTGATCCACGTCATGGACGTTATCTGACAGTTGCATGCATCTTTAGAGGTAAGCAGCATTTTTTTGTTTTTGTTTTTGTGTAAATATATATTCACAATTAATTTAAGGCGGTTTTTCATAAACTTTCTTACTTTGTTTTCACCGTTTGTGAACATTCAAGCGCGTAACAGGTGTCGCTTTGATTAATTACAAACATTCAAATAGAAAAAAGATTCCCATCAAAGAAATAGGTGACAAATGCACATATGAAATGTGTTTTTTAGTCAATTTTAAAATATATTACATCTATTAAACTCAACACAGAAATGATTGTGTACGTAATATATTTATGGCATAGTCGTTGAAATATTTAATCTATATATATATATATATATATATTTGGAATAAATGTAGCTTTGGGCTTTTCTTCAGGGAAATAGAGCCGGGTTCGATTCGATTGTCATAAAGGTGGTCCTTAGCCAAAGTTAAAAGGAAAACTTTTCTTTCTGGAAGTAAATCCATAGCCTATCTATTCGGAAAAATCGTATTAATTGTTGTGTTGGGAATTTTTTATTGTGTAACCAATCTATCTGAACGGTAATTTTTATGTCTCGATTTGCTTGAAATTTGGAGGATAGAAACCGCATTGCCTAGGCTTTGTGCAGACAACTTTTCTTTCTCTTTCATACATTTTCACAAAATCGTTGTAATCAAATAAATTAAATAAAAACCCCATAAAACCTTATAAGAAGCAACTTAAAATTCCATGCTGACCTGGTTGCTAAAGTGAAGTTTTAATGAGGGAATTTATTGGTGTAAACACTAAAAAATTAAACAGAGAAAATTTGCTTCTGCAAAAATTAAAAAAACAAAAAACAATTAAAATCATATGGACATCGTAAAAACTTGTAGAAGTGACCACTATCGAGCTTTTCTAAGAAATAAATTTAAAAGAATTATCAAACATAATTTTTTGTGTTTTTTTTTTTATTTGGACATTTTTTTACATTTCAACTGTTGTAAAGGCTTATCAATTTTACGGTTTCGAAAAGGCTGAGTCTTGGCATTGTATTTGAAACACGCATGATTGTATGACCGCCATAGCCAATTTCTGCAAACTTTAATCTGGTTAATATAATTTCGACCACTTTCCGTACTGTTTTCAAGTGCACTAAGTGTATAGGTTTTCCCCCGCAAAAAAGTTCAAAGATGTCAAACCGTATGTTCGATGTCCAATTTGTTTCAAATCGTGTTAGCTCGTGTTGTGTGGTATGTGGCACCATATTGTTGAAGCCACATATTTTGCAAGTCGTGTTCATCCATTGCAAGCCAGAAAAAAAGTTAAAAAGTCGGTTACCATACGATCACAACGCTCCGAAGTGACAGTGACAGTCTCGGCGTTTTCGTTTTCAAAGAAGTAAGATCCAATCACACCTTCTGGCCAAAGAACTAAACAGACATTAAGTTTTTTTTTTTGGGTGTAATGGCCTTTCTTTATTTTCTTGATGATTCTCGGAGTCTCAAATGCGACAACAATTCTGCTTACTTACATATCCTTCGGGTGGAAAATGTGTCTCGTCGCTGAAGGAAATTTTGTTCGAAGAATCAAAAAACAATGTTTGAGCTACAAATTCAAATGAATTTCATTATTAAGTATGAACATCAAATGCGAATGTAAATTAAAAACCAGTATGAAATATGAAGAATATTAAATAAAGTTAAGCGATTCTCTAACTCAGTATTTGCTATAATCGACTTTTCCATTGTATTAAAATGAAGAAGAGGGACAGATCAAAAAAAATGTTGTGAGTGGAGGTCTTTCTCTTCATCTGCTTCCACCGGCGGGTGCTGCATCGAAAACTTTCAAAGCTGGAATATTCGCATCCCTCCAATCCCTCCATCCATCCATGTGCAATTGACCGCAAATCTTACGCAAAAACTCCTCGAAATCTACTAACACCGACTCATCAGATGTTGTCATCGTCCATGCTTCCGCACAATATAGTAGGACGGGAGTGATGAGCGACTTGTAGAATTTGCTTTTCAGGTCGTGAATGCGATGACTGTTTGTTTGATGACAGGATATATTTCGTCTTGTCCTCGCTCACTAACAAACCCATTCGCTTTGCTTCTTTATTAAGCCTGGAGAAAGCAGACCTGACGGCATGGTTGTTGAGTTCAAGAATGTCGATATCATCGGCGTACGCCAGTAGTTATACACTCTTATAGAAGATTGTACCTTCCCCATTCAGCTCTGCAGCTCGTATTGTTTTCTCAAGCATCAAATTAAAGGCGTCACATGATAAGGGACCACGCTGTCTGAAGCCTCCATTGGTATCGAATGGCTCGGAGAGGTTCTTCCCAATTCTGACTGCGCTTCTGGTGTTGTCTAGCGTCAGCTACACAGCCGAATAGTGCCGTCGCAGGCGGCTTTAAAATCGATTAAGAGGTGGTGGGTGTCGATCCTTTTTTCACGGGTCTTTTCCAAGATTTGGCGCATGGTGAAAATCTGGTCAATGATTTACTTACCAGGTCTGAAGCCACACTGATAAGATCCAATCAGTTTGTTGACGGTGGGCTTCAGTATTTCACACAATATGCTCAACAGGACGTTATATGCGATATTAAATAGGGTTATCCCACTGCAATTGACGCAGACTGTGGGTGCACCTTTTTTATGGATTGGGCATAACAGACTTAAATTCCAATCGTCGGGCATGCTTTCGTCCGACTATATTCTGCAAAGTAGCTGATGCCGATGCTTTTGCCGGTGGACCGTCTGTTCCCGCTATTTGTTGTTTTTTAAGCGGGCGATTGCAATTCGAACTTTTCATGGTCAGGTAATGGAACGTCTTTTCCATCGTCAGCGACTGGAGTTTTGGGTTCACCATCTCTGGATGGTCCATTTTCATCACAATTAAGCAGGTTGGAGAAGAGTCTGCTCCGGTCTTGAAACCTTCTGTAAGTCGTCGTATCTTCTCATAGAATTTTCGAGCATTACCCTTGTCGGCCGGCTTATTCAGCTCCTCTTCATCTCGGCGTCTTTCTTTTTTTTTTTTGTCTGGAGATGCGTCTTGTTTCCTTCTTCATCTCTCGGTATCTATCCCATCCCGCACGTGTCGATCGCATGGTTGCGAGGATGGCAGTCTGTTTTCTCTCCACTACGACGAAGCAGTCATCATCGTTTTTGCGACCTTTACGAAATCCAATAGTTTCGTTTGCAGGTGACCACATAGCTATGTACAAATATAATGAACTTTCCTACTACAAAAGTAATTGAAACAAAATTTACTCTCACCATTTACACATTGATGGAATGGTATCCATGGTGGTTTATATACGCTTCTTCATGATTTTTGAGACTCTTTTCAGGACTTTTAGGACTCGTGATAGCCCCAACAGTGCACCCAAAAAATGGATACGATAATGAGGAAAAATTTTCCTTTATAGCTATCCGGAAAACATGGTTGACTGCCTCTGTCACGCGTTCAATACAACGGCTTACTGACGACAAACTCATATATTTATATTCCTATACCCGCTGCTCTGCGACGGGAGGTTGGTAGCATCCAGCTGCTAAGAACCGCAAGGCGATTAGAACCTTCAAACATTTTAATAGTGTTAAAACTGAGAAAAATTAATTAAAAGCTATACTTTTAACTGTTTTTCCGTAGATTATGTTGTTATATTTCTGCCTTTAAGTTGGCTATCAAGAAAATCACTTGCATACGAATAGGAACGAGTTTTACTTTGCCATTCCCGCAGCATACTTCTATCTAATGAAGAAGGGTACAATACCTCCTCATCTTGGGATGAAGTGTATGTCAAATACTCAAAAGTCATTTGTGTTTATTATATTATTACGATTTTTATATAACTTAGACAATCTCACGATTTACTTTACTTTATTTAACCTTAATTAAATAACACTATTTTTTCGATATCGCTAACAACTTAAAAATATTCGTCGTTTAGTTAGCGCTTTATCGAGTAGCTTACGACAACAACGTTAGCGAATATCGTTAAATTAAGTACACCGAATATTAAAATCATTAGAACTATCACTAAATCATTTTTGCGATCCGAAAATCGTTATAATATGATAAAGATTTCCCATAGAGATTTCATACCGAATATCGGTTAAGATATGTTCCAAGTACGAGAACCAAATTTTAAAGTAAATACATTTCTTATAAGCAACTGGATTGTATTTATAAATATAATATTTGAAATTGGTCTGGTAGCTTACTGACATTTTAATTGTTTTCACAACAAAAAATCATTTTAGAAAAATGAGGCCGCAATAGCATTGCGTACTGGTATTCAGAATGCCGGGGCTCCAGTCCTGCTTTAACCAACATCAGAAATAATAGAAAATTCATTTTTCTAATTTTGGTCACTTCTCTACAAGGAATTTCAAGCCCTGGGAGCGTATTTCTGTTATGGAATGAAAGCACCTCCTGATAAGAAAGGTCCCTCGTCGGTCAGTGTCGGTGACTCCAAATGTAGCTGGGGAATAGTGCTAGGTTTGCTCTATTGTAATTTTATTAACTACTTTGATTCACTGAAATGTAACTTATTTTTTTTTTTTTTTGGGGATTTTAAGGGTCTTTTGGTATGTACATATTTAATTTTAAGAGTCTTCTGGTATGTACATATGTATGTAAAATTTTGTTGCATTTAATACTCGCTCTTTTATGTTTTATATTAATTATACTTTTTATTTTGTTTCATAAGTCAGGCGAATCCTTTATCCTGACATTGGTTTATCCACGTGTCAGTTGCTAAAGCGACACCTTAATGCCGCGCGTATTTATGCAATTCATTCCAAATGATTAATTAACGCTCCCTGTGTCTGGCAATCACTCGTGTCACGCTTGACTTTGGATGCGCGTAAATTTCATTTTGAGCAATGGATAACACAGCATTTGCTAGAGTTATTTTATTGGTTGCTTCACACTTCTGGTGATTAAAATCTGTTGCCATATCATTTGATTCAGTCACTTTTTGTTTTTGCTTTACTTTCAATTCATAAGGCGATGAGAAATGTTTTTCGTTATCTATAAAGC